ATTGTGACTACTTCAGACTGACTTTTTTCAGACCTAGGAGAGCTAGAGATACTCAGGAAATAGGATAAAGAAGAGGGTTTTCATGAGCGCTTAGATATCCGAGTGAAAAAAAACACCATCACAATGGCGTTCTATCATAAATAACAACTGCACGAAATACTAATTTCCCGACCCCTCCATTTCCTGTTGACACCTCCTAATTACCCAAAATGGGTACTTTCACCCCATATGAGAACCACTGAGTTACACATTAGCATTTTTTGTCATTCTCACCGATACTATCGCGTTTTCTCAATAACAGTGGGGAAACAACAAAGTGAAAAACAGTGTAATTTTTCTTGGACAAACAAATGAAACAACGCTTATTATTTAATAATCACAAAATTCCAATATTGTCTTGTTGCTTGTTTTGAAATGTAAGTATAAGGTGTACTCGAAAGAAAACTACTTAAAAAAAGAAAAATCTTNCCCCGTCCACTTTTCTCCTCGCGGAGACCCCCCTGCGAAAAACTGCTCCCCGACAAACACTAATATAAGCTGACGGGCTCATATTTTTCGTGGCTGTCTAAAAATGAGCTTCAAGGCGGCCACGATTACACTGTCGCATTTTCTCGAATAAAAGGTTGTTATAAAATTTTGTGTACACTATTCTCTGCTTTCCGTAATTCTTGCGCAATTGCAACATATTAAGTGGACAGGGAAAGACGCATTTTTGAAGAACTGAGTTCATACATGTTGCGGTGTTGCGAGAGGAAGTTCTCGTTCAAGAAGGAAGCGGTTCATATTTATGAGAAAACGATGCAACTGATATAATCGTGTGAAGTTGAATTGCTCCTCCTTACAAGATGCCCATTACCATTGATCAGTTTAATAACTTATCGAAACAGGCACATTCGTCGGTAGAGAAAGGTGCAATGCTAGCCGCTGTACGTTTACGAAAGTTGAAGGCCACTCGAACAGGTGCACTCGATAATTATTGCATCACTGCTGATGTACTGAAAGCAGCTATTCAGGTCCTTTTCAGAATGTCGATAGTTTCGTTCACGAATACTTGAAACTGAATTTCGTATTTCATATAAGAAGTAGACATTCGGCGGAAATGAGAGACCTGAATGAATTGGTCACAAATAGAACGACTGCGTGAACAGTTTTGAGGAATGTTTGAATCACAACTAGATGGTTAAAGAAAATTCTGAAAATAAGTTCAGTTTCTTGATTCCACTATAATTTTCTGCGAGACTAAATTATAAGAAATATTCATTAAATTCATTATTAGTTCATCTTTGTTCTTGCGACGATTTTGTATTATTTTTCTTTATTCTTATTGTGCATTATCACTCTGCACTGAAGAAAAGTCTATGAACTTAAGCGTATTATTGTGAATATTGAAATTAATTTATTTGAAAGCCTTCTTGATTAGGAATTTTCAAGTAGCAAGGTGTTTTAGCTGGAATTAGTTCCCTATGGAGTTAAGAAATGAAAAGAAAAGAATTAAATTCAGGAAGATAAAAGAAATGGACTGATACCGTTTATATTGATAGCGACCGTCGGCACAACTTCAACATGTGGCGTGGATCCAGTGGACGAGCTAGCAGGAATCTGTAATGAGGAGAATATGTGGATACATGTCGATTCTGCATATGCAGGTGCTGCTGAAAACAGAAAGCTGAGAACAATATTCTTTTCTTGTGAACTCTCAGCAAAAACACATCCTAAAAAAATCAATTTATCGCACAACACTTCAACTGAATTTCATGAACCAATCAGTTTTTCAGTCCTTTGAACTCTCTTCTATAGTGTGATGACTGTCAGGCAAAAAAGAATGAATTGTGTGAACAATGAAGAAAATCAGTAGTGTTTAAGGCTCATTTCTTTTGTGTCCTGAATATCGATATTTGGTTAAAAGACTCGATCTCGTTGATTCATTTAATACGAACGTTCATAAAGCGTTACAAATCAACTTCGATTGTTCACCAATGTGGTAATACATTTAAATAGCAATTAAGCGTCTTTTAGCAATTCATTACATATTTTTTGTTTAGTCCTTCGTTCAATTCGTCGATGCATTTCAACTGCCTTCTACAGATATTTTATTCGGGAAATTAGTTCATCATGTTGTTTTTATTTACTGATTAAAAATTTCAAAAAATGGTACCTACCTTTACACTTACGCACTCACCTTGATCAAGTGCAAAGGTTCACACGTTCAAATCATAACTGATACAATGGAATTGATGAATGTAATTATTCATAAAGAACCAGATATATGCCCAACAACATGATTGTTAATTGAAAAGATACGAACTCAATAATGTTCAGGTTCAAGAATGCCCAACAAGCTGTAAAATACTTCGATGTAGAACCGTTATATCTAAAGCACGAGCATCAGTCGCGCTCTGTTGACTACCGGGTTGGTGTCTAACTGCATCTAATTTGATTTCGAGTGTAGTAAAGAATTCACCAATACTTCATCAATATATTTCACAATATTTCAGCACTTGCAAATAGCACTTGGACGTCGTTTTCGATCGTTGAAAATTTGGTTTGTTTTGCGCAATATTGGAATTGGACGACTTCAACAGCAACTTAGGAAGGTGATGAAATCATGAATGAAATATAAACTGCCTGTATAGAAGTCAATTATATCTGATGAAACAAGTCAGCTTTTATTCTCACTCTTCTACTGACTAAATTCGAAACCTCACATCGGGGGCACTCAGTCATTCAAAATGTTTCGAGTCTCGTTTACTTATGAATATTGGGTTATCTTGAGAATGTGCTCACATGTTGCATTGGTATTTGACTGATAAACAATGCTATGTTCATTGTGGATGTCCTTCTGTAGTACTTTATTTTTTGAGTGCTGTTGGAGGGAGAAAAGGTGAGATTATGTTTTATCAAATTTTCGACACTGAAAATGACCGTTTGAGACTGCTAAAAGTCTTCTTTGTCAAATGTCACAAATTGCCTTTGAATAGCTGAGTTCAATCCAATGATGATTCACGACATTGCCAATCGAAAACATCAATCAATGAAGGAAAAGTTGAAAAATGTAGGGTCTGATTATGAACGATCGGTTTATTGATATCGATGATGTCGTCGAAAATTTGAGAATTCCCTACGACTTTCTAGAATTCCCTATTTCGTAAGTTCTTTAATAAAATTCCATTTTATTAAAAAACTTACGAAATAATTGTGACTATTTCAGACTGACCTTTGTTCAGATCTGTGCGAGTTAAAGGTACTCAGAAAGTAGGATTAAGAAGAGTTTTCATGAGCGAGCCGCGTTTAGATATCCGAGTAAAAAATACACCATCACAATGGCGTTCTATCATAACTAACAACTGCACGGAATACTTATTCTCTAACCCCCTCCATTACCTTCCCTCGACACCCCCAAATTACCCAAAACGGGTAATTTCACGCCCTGTGAGAACCACTGTTTTAGCCCGTTGTGTTGCTATTTATTGCAATCGATTATGATTGCATGAAAAGCTACTGTCTATGGCTTGCTCACTTCATACTGATTCACATAGATTCTCATTCTTTTCAGACGTGTTCTATTCACTCTCATAGCTCTTGCATGAGAATACCGTTCTCTTCATGACTTTTTATCATTCACTTCGTCTCATTTCGTTTTACAGTTCGAATCAAATTCTTATTCTGTGACATACACTATTTACTTGATACGTTGACGAGTGTTGACAGCTGAAGTCAACAATACAACAATTGAATGATATTGCACAACAATGTTCGAGAGTCAAATGATCAATTATAGAGTGTATTTGATAGAATGAGAATTTGACTTTAACTGTTGAATAAAATGAATGAGAAATTATCAGAAGAGAACAATTTTGGTGATAAAAGTCATGAGAGCGACTATAACAGCTCGGAAAAGAATGAAAACCCTGCTAAAACAAATGAAAACCTTGTTAGGCCCGAACCAGATAGTAATACTCAGAAAATAGGAGGATGTAGAGTTCACCCAGGGTGAAAAACATCGTCACAATGGCGTTCTATCATAAACTAACAATTGCACGAAATACTAATTTCCCGACCCCCTCCATTACCCCTTGACACCTCCAAATCACCCAAAATGGGCAATTTCACCCCCTACGAAAACCACTGCCTTAAACGAAATAATTACACGCTACGCTCCTGCTGGCCAACTTTTCTCCTTCTTTTGCCCTGTTGAGCCTTTGCATAGTGAATATTCTCCCAACCGCATCATGCAACAACACCAGACTGCTTTTTTAGTGACCATTTCTTGGGACTGAACAGGGGACAAGCCACTGATTATATATGGTATAGTACCTCAATTTTAATACTAAGTTATGTAGTAATTTTAATACTAAGTTATGACACTGATTCCGAATTATAAACCATCACTTGCAACTTGTCTTCACTAACTTACTGATATGAAAGCATCACATTGTGTTTATGATGAATCATATGAAAAGCGATTGAACTGTAATATTTCCTCTTTACACATTGTTTGTTACAGATGAATGAATTAGCTGAATATTTTGCCGAGTTGGTTACGAAGGACGAACTTTTGGAACTGTTCGTGCCACAACATCTTGGACTTGTCTGCTTTAGAATCAAGGTACCTGCTGATAAGAATTTCTGGTTTAAAATCGAGAAGAAAACGAAACGTGCTGTATGATTTCGATAGTGAGAATTACGTTGAATTCTAGCATTACATTACAATTACAGTCAGCTCTCCCAGTATGGTCGACAAGCAAACATTATTGCTATGGCGTGTTTTTTTCCCACTCATATCGCCTAACTTGAGTAGTCTGGTGATGTTACCTCATCCTTGAATCACTTGACTATATTCAATGATTCCACGAAAGAATGACCTTGCAAAGATCAACTGATCGGAAACCAACTGGTGAGCGTAGTTGTGCTAATTAGAGATGGCTAGATTGCATGTGAATGAATCGTTGATCTTGTAAATGAAGTGGTGTTGATGAGCGTGACTGCGAATGGGCATTATTCGCTAAAATAAATATTAATCACAACACATGGATCTTATCTAAATGAGGAACCGAAATGATAATTTCAGAAATCGACGAATGAAATGAATGAACGTTTAAACGAAATGTTGAACGAGGATCGTCGAGTTCATGTGGTACCATCATCAGTCGACAATACCTACTTCTTGAGAGTTGCAATTTGCAGTCAACTCACCACTCGTCAGCATGTTCATTTTGCATACACAATCATACATACGTTTGTCACTCAAATCCTAAACGCTGATAGTGTCGAAGCAACATCAAAATAAAATCAATATCACAATAAAGCCGAATTTAAGTGATTCATGTGAAATTTATATAATTCTGAGCTGTTAAAATGCTTTCTTATCAGATTTCTGTCATAGATTAGCAACCTAATAAGGTAATCTGTGTGTTTGAATCTATTTCGAATTTCAAGCGAAGCACATGAATCTATTTTAGTCCTTTATGAGCTTAAGTGCGATCGGAATTCAGCAGCACAAGCTCTACGCGTAAATCTAGCAGTCAGCCTGAGCCTAAACTGAAGCCTAATTTGAGCGGATGAGGTGGAAGTACATACCTATTCTTGTGAGTTTTCAAGACTGCCGCACGATGATGAGTCTGTCACAGATGCGTTTCGTGTTTCAGTTCCCTATCATTCAAAGTTTTAATCATTTAAACACCTAAATCATTTCTTTTATACGAGGTGCATTTATGCAATGCTTTTTAATAAGCATGGATTTATGCAACGATTTAAAAAACAATCGGATTTTGTTATACATTCAACGCTCAGCTTATGACCATCAATTCGCAGTTATGATCGCGAAAAGAGCAATCAAATATTATTGCATACACAGCCAGAATTTTCGAGATCAATAATATTAGCACGTGGAATGTTGTAGGAGAATCAAAAATGAAAAAATAATGAAAAAATGAGAGAATGAAAAGAGATGAATGAAAAATGAGAGGGTAAAGAATAAGAACGAAAAATAACGCTTAATTTGATGATGGTGATTACAATAGTGATGAAAAATACGAACAGAGAAAGATTCTTAAAAAATAAAGATTTAATAATGCGTGTGATAATCATACTAATAAAAAAGACAGGTATCTTGAATATGAAACGCAGTATTTGCACTCATTTGATGCTATTAAATGAGAAACAACAGTAAATTCACGATACGCATATCGTCGAAGATATACTAAACTGGTAAGAATTAGGATTTTTATATGTCCCCCCCGCTTTGCTGTTGTTTAAACGTTTTTTATCCGAAAGTTTCAATTACGTTTATTAACAATAATATTCTGCCCAATGATTGGATATATCATCAGTGATGGAACACTACTGACAAAGCAGCTCCGCTAATCGTTAATTTGCTAAAAAAATCCCTTTATCATAGCTAAAAAGAATCTGGTAGTGGCGTCGCTGATGGAAAAGTGGCGAAGTTCTTTCGCTAAAAGAGCTGCTAAATGGAAAAAGTGGTGATAGTTTTTACTAACGATAAAACTAAAACACCACTCGACAGAACTCGTCCAATAATCTTCTCTCAAAATTTGCAATTACAACGCTTATTTGTCCTGAAAAAGGCCTCGTTACGTTATTACACAGTTGAAAATTTTATTCAATCATTCAGCAACAAATAATCATTGAAACAACGAACAGCAATCAATTATAAAAAGTGAGTTCAAAATAAGTAAATAACAACATGACGACAACAAAATTTAAAGCCGAAAAACAATCAACAGGCAGCAGCCCACACTATACATTCTCACTCTCTTTCGAGAATCTCAACATGCTGAGCAATTTGCTTGAGAATCCAGATTGTTTGCCTCTTACTGTGTCGGCTAGCTCAGTTCCCTCCTGGTGGAAATGAGCAATTTATCAAGGTTCATAAGAGCAATTTTAAGGAATTAAACTAGAAACACACAGGCGATTAGAGCAACGAGCAGAATGTAGCAGGGGAGTTCAGTCGGAAGAACATGTTGAACGGTCAGCGGAATCGAACGCTGTAGAGAAATTGGTACGTTGCTGGGCAAAGCTGAGAGTACAGTAGGCTTGTATGGTAACCCCTACAGTGCTACAGTAGCGCACAGATTGCTAATTGAGACAGTTTTAAGAAAATAGCTACATCTTCTCAAGTGAGCAGAATTGCTCAGCAAAATATATGATATTCTGAATCTAGAGATTCCTCTCGATCGAATGGTGTTAAGAAATTGATATGTTATTGGGCGAACCTGAGAGTACGGTAGGCTATACAATGGCACCTCTATGGTGTTGAGATAGCATTTAAAAAAGTTGTATCTTTTCAAGTAAACTGAACTGTTAAAAAATAATTGTTTTTCTGAATCTAGAGGTTAGATTGAATAATAAATTACGATAATAACATCAATAATAGTAATAATATTAATAATAATAATAATAATTTGAAAAATAACAATAATGTGAATAATAATAAGCAGTAGTAATTAATAATA